AATAAACAGCTGATTCAAGAAAAAATGTTATTTGCGCCCCAAAAAATTTGTATTGCATTTAATATTAAAAATAAAATGAACAATAAAAGAAAAATTTATTTGGTATGATCCCCGGGAACATTTAAGCTTCCTGCATCAATACATTGCCCTCTTTCTGGAATTAGTTTCTAATTTGAGGAAACTTTGCATTACATACGAATTTTCTTCTATTTTCTGTAATTTTTATACAACATAACTTCAAATTTAACTTTGCAAATTAAAAAATGTTTTGAATAATTTTGTGTTTGGTCATAAAACAGCTGATCCAAAAATGGCTGAGTTTGCAAAATCTTACTGCATAAAATTCTTTCAGTAAACTCCAGTAAGTTTGTTGTTGTTGAACTGTCAAACTTGCTCTCTCACTTGACTCCCTTTTCCTGGATTTTTGGGTAAACAGACAACATTTAGTAACATTTGGTAACAATTGTTACCAAATATCGAGTAAACAGACAGAGCTAATTTAAATGCAAGTCAGCTGATCGTACAACAACATTTTAATATAAATATGTTTATCCAGACTTGTATATTTTAATTTATAAAGTAGGATCTTTTATTTGCGTTGGTTGGTGGCTCTTCACACTTGCAACTTTTGCGTACTTTCGCCAAAGAGATGCATTTATTTACAAATACAGGGTTGCATTTCATTAATAATAATATATTATTATTATGACATACATCGAAATAATGCATATTATGATGTTATAAGTTTACACTATAACTTATAACGTCAAAGCACTTTAAGTAGAATTAAATTGAATGTAAAGTACATTTCAAGTAGTGTTTTTAGGAACATAAGGCGGTTTTTAGTAATATTCAAATAATTGATAACACATTCAATGTAAGTATTTCAATCCATGAAGGAATGCACTACTCCAATTCTTCATGTAATAGCCATCAATTCAGCGAATAGTTCTACTTTCAAATATCAACACACGCCGTTCAATAAATGGGGTATTAATCGATTCAAGTGACAGGATATTTTTTTTCTAAATTTGTAATGACTTCCGATTCGGATATTACTAGCGTTCATATTAATATTTCATTTTATTAGTTTACTATAATTGCGTTTCATTGGCATTGAAATGCGATGTAAAAATGTGGTTGATTTTCTGTCTCGGTGGTCGTTTCAGTATCAAAAACCAAAAAAGCGCGCTCGTTGACCGTGAACAAAGGCGGACAAATCTGCAAGCATTAGCAGTTCTCTTTTGATGAAACCCCATGTTTGGTCCAAACGAAAGTATTACAGTTCCGGAGATTGAATATTTTCGACTGCTAAAATTAATCCTCCTTCAGTTATCCAACCGATTTAGTTTTTTGTCAGCCAGATTTATAACCTTCATACGTTGAAGAACCCCAAACAAAAAAATCTGTTTAATATCAGGCGTTTGTCAAGATATTGTAGAAACTTGTACGATTCCATGAAAACAAAAATGTTGGCACTTTTCGGCATTGACCAGCCGTTCGGTCGTCTGTCGGTTCATTGTCGATGTCTCGAAACATCTACTTTTTTGTTTGTTCGTTCGTTCGATGAGCGCAATGACTTCCGTTTCCCTGCATCTCTCTGCTGAGGATCACAAACACACACACAGCTACGCAGGCACGCCAATATTGACGTGTTTTTTGTTTTCCATATGATTTCCAAAACACAAAACATTTAAAAAAGGCAATAAACATATTTTTGAAATTTTGTAGAGTAACGTGTGCCACCGGCAAATGTGACTTTGTCGTCAGCGTTTCCAATATTATTGGTGCCGCAGCAACAACAGCAGTTGTTTTTGGCATGTCTTTTAAAAAATGTTTTTGTTTTTTTTTTCATTTCATGGGGAATACCTTGGCTATATTTTAATTATAATTGATTTTAAATGTTTTTTTCTTCTATATTACATTTTCAACTTGACTCGGGATGCTGAATGGGGAACTCGGGAAACATTTGACGATTTTAAAATTCAGAATTCGAGAATAAATAATTTATAAGAATATATACTCGTAATTTGGCAAATATCTCGATTTCTGCTGCCATGATCAGTTTTTTTAGTGTTGTTGACAAGATGCTACTACTGCTGTCATCATAAAATTAACACTATCGATTATTAAATACCTTGAATGCTTGGTGTTCATACCTTGTCATGTTTTTTTAATTTTGGGAATTCTTGTTATTTCAACTATTAATAACACAAATAATTCGCTTAATTGAATTATCAAGTGTACATACTCGTATGCCGACATGGTGGTGTGCAAATCTCAACATATTCAATTCAATGGGTTTATTGATGAACGATGGATGAGGGTCATATATATATGTATATACCTATATAGTAGGCGTTCTCAGGGATTATACATTTCGTTTAAAAATAAATTTATTGTTTATAACGTCACTAATCGCAAATCTTACAGCTTTCATCGAGTGTTTTATTTTCAAATACATCCTGACCAGCCGAAAAACAAACATATTGTTCGTTATTGTACTACGGAAATGTTGAATGTTTGTCCATGACCTTCGTCCGCAAAGTAAGAAGAACAATAATAAATCATTGGATTTTATATGAACTAAATGTTATAGATAGATATTTATGACTTGCTTGTTTTTTTTTTTTTCTTTTTTTTGCCAAAATCTAGAAACATCTCCATGACTAAATGGAACAGGATATCTGCGTCGTCACACGGAGTCTAACTTCTTGTAAATCAATATCATATTGATATTGTTCGAATTTGAGCCATATTTGTACAGAAATGGAATTAAAATCTAAACACTACCGAGGAACGTTTAATTTTTGCTATCTTATACAGCATCTCTATGGATATAGTCTTTATGTCCTCAATCGTCCGTTCAATTTTAAAAATAAAAAAGTCGCATGACCAGGTTTCATCATTCGTTGTATTGGGCACCAATTTTTAGCACAACTTACGAATAAAATATCTGCGTCGCCACACTGAGTCTAACTTATTGTAAATCAATATCATATTGATATTGTTCGAATTTGAGCCATATCGACGCCTCCGAACCATAGTATGCTAAATCGACTTAGCATGTTTTAAAGTTCTTTTCGTTTTTAGATACTACGGTCCTTAATTTATATTCTCTGAAATTTTGGTAATCATCCTCCAATCCAAACCAAAGTTATAAGCAAAAATGTACTTAGCATGGTAATGCGGACAAACGTACTCGGGAAAATTTATAATTAACGATACTTTTTTAAATAATCTCGTATACAAATTCATTGGCGGAGGATTTCCTTTCTCGCATAATTATTAACGCACAAATTTCTACTAAATTAAAATTTACGATGTTATGTTTAATTTCTTCGGGAGATAATGTAAATAATCTTAGAAAAGAATAACCCAATGCAAATTCATGTTTCAACAATCCTTGAAATTTGTTCTCTAGGACTATAACCAAGAATCGAAAAATAAGTTGAAAATGAAAGTTTCACGAATTCCGTAACTATTTGAATCCACAGACTATTGTATATTCGCAGACTTTTTTGTTTCTAATCCATAAAAAATGTATTTTGAAGAAGAGGTGGGGCCTTAGTTCAACAATTACCAAATGATAAATATTTTATTAGAATTACAATAGAATTCCATGCATCCTTATTTATAAAGTGTTTTGAATATCACGTTAAAATTATTAAATATCTTATTTAAATTTGTTTTAAGTACACAAAATTAATTTAGATTTTTTTCTGTAATCAAATTTGTATCCTTAGCCTATTAAAAATAATATTAAAATTGATTTGTAAATAATTTGAATTTAAAATGTTGTAAGTGGATTTGGGGGACCTTCATCATTACATCAACCGTTTCAATAACTATTTTTTTTTTTTTGTCAAAACACAAATAGAAGTTCCCAAATGCTACTGCTGCGTTATATAAAAAAGTTCACTATACTCCCTACATCTCAAACGGATACATTACTCTATGAGAACTATTTACACACAAATGAAGTCAATTCTTTAAAATATTGACATTGTTTGAAATTATGTATTTGGTTTGTGTACTTCAACTTGGTAATAGAGTTCTTTACGATTATTTTCATCCAAAACAGTCTGTTAATTTCTCGGACAACAAGCCCCCTATTGATATATGTATATTTGCCAAATTTATACAAAAATTTCTTTTGCTACCAGAAACCTCATTTCATCTAATTAGGGTAAATACACAGACACAGACATAGTAATCTAGTTCGACTAAACGACTGCGACGACGATGAACAACATACACACACACACACACCCGTCACATATATTTGGCGAATTTTCCGCAAAAAAAGAAAATTTTTTCACCTACACACAGTAAAGAAAAGGAAAAACTGAAGTGCGTATGTCCATACATTTGCCCACGAACTGCTGTGTATGTTTCTAGTTACTATGAGTTTGTGTGTATGTAGATGTTTCAAAAGCACAAATCTCACTACACACACATCCACATGTACACACGTAGAAAACGAATTTTCATATATTTTTGGCAACGCTAGATACGGCGTCCAAAAGCAAATCAATGGACGGATGGACGGACAAACAAACATGGGAATGGACCGTGTCTTCTGGCGCAAACATAGACAAACGTCGTGTGCAAAGAGCACAGCGCCTATTGGATTCTTTAGCTTTTGAATATTTGAAAATGTGTGTGAAAATGATTCTTTTTGAAAGTAGCCGAAACGGATCTTGCGTTCACGACGACCGCGTCCACGAAGATGACGAACCACCACCACGAAGAATCGAAAGAATATTGAAAAGTTTTTGAGACCAGAACTACATAAAAGTATTTTCAGTTTGAGAATTTTCGTCAAACGTAGCAGATCGCTCAGAACAACAACGTAAGAGCCATTAGGATATTCAAATAGTTTTTCATCGATCTTTCGTCGAGAATTGAATTTTAATATTTTATAAAAAATATAATAAAGCAATAAGTTTTAATATTCAATTATTAATAATTGTAATCTCACATTTGGATTTTTTTAGGTGAACAACGGTTCCAACCACTATCACCAAACAATAACGGACTACGCCAAACCCAATAAGGGCACGTCACATTTAACGCAGACTATTACTGAAACCACTACTTCTACCGTTGTAGAAGACAATCAACCGGATCAGTTGGATTCTATGCTAGGAAGCCTTCAGGCCAATATGAATCGTCAAGGTGTCAATACTGTACAAAAGGGCTGCTGCAATGCCTGTGAAAAACCCATTGTAGGCCAAGTTATTACTGCCCTGGGCAAGACCTGGCATCCAGAGCACTTCACCTGCAATCACTGCAACGAAGAATTGGGCACACGTAATTTCTTCGAACGCGACGGTTTCCCCTACTGTGAAAAGGACTACCATAACTTGTTCAGCCCCCGTTGTGCCTATTGCAACGGCGCCATTTTAGATGTAATTAAACTGAGAAAGACATACCCTACCAGGATTGGAATACATTAATACGTGATCTATTTGTTCATTTCAGAAATGCGTAACTGCCTTGGACAAGACCTGGCACACAGAACATTTCTTCTGTGCCCAATGCGGTCAGCAATTCGGCGAAGATGGTTTCCATGAACGTGATGGTAAACCCTATTGCCGCAACGATTATTTCGATATGTTCGCTCCAAAGTGCAATGGCTGCAACCGTGCCATCATGGAGAACTACATCTCCGCCTTGAACTCTCAATGGCATCCCGACTGCTTTGTCTGCAGGGTAAGTTTCAATTGGAAAATTGATGTAATGCTATTTTTTTCGCTATGACTGCTTCCGATTGAGCTGTGGATTGCATTGATTTCAATTTTTATTTTCAATTTCGATTCAATTCTCTTATAGGATTGCAAAAAACCCGTCAGGGGTAAATCTTTCTATGCCATGGAAGGCAAACCCGTCTGTCCAACCTGTGTGGGCGTCGATGAAGAGGAATAAATTCCAAAATAGAATTTCATTGTTTTTCTTTGTCGCTATTAAATATTTTTATTTTAACTTTTAATGTATTTGTTTTTGTTCGATAAGAAAGAAATGAAGGCGAGATTTTTAAAAAATCTTGTCGTCAAATTCAACAACATCTGTCTGGTTGGCATTTTCATATATTTCTCCTAAGAAATAAATTCGAAAACATAACAAGAACGTCCACAACACCATCAGTGGCAAGAATTACACCATACACCTGCGCCTACGCAAATCTTCAATGTTGTAAATGAAACGGTGGAAGCGAGAAGAGAACAACATGAAATTCTATTTTCTGGACAAATCCTCATCGTGTACCAAGTTCCAGCATGAGGCAATTTATAATAACAAGGTCTCCCACGTCTTCTCACCCCGCCAATACTTTTGTGCCGATTCCTCCATGCGTGGAGAATTGACCTCTTGTATGGCATGGGGTTATGATCATGATAATGATGATGTCTATGTATCTCATTATGCCTTTGAAAGTGTTCAAAAACCACACACTTTCAATGACCCCCATCAGTTTCCCCCAAAAAATATCATTGTTTCCCCATCTTTTATATAGAATTTGAAGATTTATCTTAGCTAACAACACATTGAACAGTTTTATAAAATAGATTTAAGTATAGGTACATAATCATTATTATTTTCCTTTCTTTAATAATTAAATTATAAACAATATTGTAATTTTATTTATTTGTAAATAAAATATTATAAAAAAAAACAAAACAAAAAATACAAAAAAAATAACAAACAAAACACCAAACACACAAATGCAAACAGATACACGGGTCTAAGATAATGATTAAGGCCTTGACTATGACGAAGGCCTTCGTCTTATCAATCTTATGACAGGAAAACATGACTTTTTACATGGTCATGTATTGCCAGGTGTTTTTAAAGGTGCGTCCTTGCACTTGGCTTTTCTAAAGACCCTGTGTTGATGTTTCCAACCAGAGCCGTTCGCTACTGTTGTATGCTTGCGGTCGCGTGTGGGTGGATGTTTTGGTTTTCTTTTTAAAACAGAAACTTACATCATATTTATATTTGATGTGATTTTCTGTCAGAATATTTTGTTAATTTCAATATTGTTTTGATTTAATTATTCTTCTCCCGTATGTGTATATGTATGTATTTCGTTTTGTTGTTCCTAGTGTATGTGTTGTTTATTAATTACTAGTATTAATTTGCGAAGAAAGCTGTTTTTTTTTTTTTTTTTGGAGCTGACGTCACAGACCACAAGTCCATTGAGGCAATGTTGCACCCCTTCCCAATATTTGTTTAGTTTTTATTATCTAACCCCCCCTCCTCTTTATGTAGAGATTTTTCACATATGAATCGTGAGTTTTTTTTCTGGTGGTCATCAATCTGTCGTTGTTTCCATTTGTTTGTGTTTTCTTATATTGTCTTGGATGAATCTTGTTGCTTTCAGATGATTGTGATATATTGCTTACAACTGCCATAACCACCACCACCGCAAGTGGCAGTGTATTTTTCTCGGAAAATTCATAATTCATGTTATAATGATCAATTGTCTTTTATGTACAATGTAATCAAACTGTACTCTACTGTTTTACTCTCATTCCCTAAAATAAAACAATGATCAATATTATTTCTAAAAAAATCAATTTATTGTATTTATTCCGTTGAAATAAATATGTTATTCCTAAGCAAATTTCGTTAACAGTAACCATCTTCTTTAGTTCATCATGCACCTAAATTCTCAAACCAATATTTATCGATGATTACTTTATTAATAATATTAATCTGCATATTTTATAATTCGAGTGGACATTGTTTTGTTGTCCATTATAAATTTTCAAATATTTGAAAGATGACAATTTGATTCTATTCCAGAATTGCTTTATAAAATATTGATCCATTAAAAAAGAAAGCAATGTGCATAATATATGTTTAAAATACAAATCTCAGTAATACAAATAAATCGCAAACATAAATGTCAACGTCGCCCCACGAATTTTTTTGTGCGCGGTCGACTGGCTTTTTATCAGAATTGATGGTTGCTTTTTGTACAAATTTAATTAATTAATGGACCAAAAGTGCTTTTATTTACCTTGCCTCGGACATTTTTCTGGCAATCACATTATTCACTTCTATACTATATTGTTACGATATGAATGCATCTGGAAAATATTTAAAACATTATTTGTACACACCTACTTGTTGCGCATATGTAATTAAACTGTTACTGTAAACAGATTGAAGGATGTTGAAATAAATATTGCATCAATTGATGTTTGCAACGAGTAATTCGACTATATTACCAAATTATTTTGTTTAATTGATGTTTTTGATTGACATTCGGCAATATATATATATATATATTAGCATATATATAGATATGCTAATTAAAATGTATTTATTTAATCATTTATGGCACACATTTACTTAAAATATATTTTTTTTGTTTTTTTTTTCATTTCAGGATTGCCGACAACCTTTCCAGGGTGGCTCATTCTTCGATCATGAAGGTTTGCCCTATTGTGAAACTCACTACCATGCTAAACGTGGATCTTTGTGTGCTGGTTGTTCGAAGCCCATTACTGGTCGCTGTATAACAGCCATGTTCAAGAAATTCCATCCGGAACATTTTGTATGTGCCTTCTGCTTGAAACAACTAAATAAGGGTACATTTAAAGAACAAAATGACAAACCCTACTGCCACACTTGCTTCGAGAAGATTTTCGGTTGAAACAAAAACTGCGAGAAGAAGGGATTCATAAATTCATTAGTTTTAATACCAGACGTATCCTAATGGTATTTACGAAAATCACATTGAATATAGTTACACACGTTCATACAGACATACTATTTAACCTTGATCTATACAAAACAACAACTGCAATAAACAACCGCATCCAATAATAAACATAAACCCATACACTCTAACATGTGTATAATTATTTTAATTTACTTATTTTAGTTCGTACAGTTCCAGCACTCATACATACAACAAAGTAAAGACATAAACATCAGTTGAAATATACAGAAATTTGTTTTAAACAAACTGCACAAATCTCTAATTTATTTTTGATAATGTGCAATTTCTTTTGAACGTTTGTCGGAATAATGTTGTGCGTATGTGTGCTGCTATCGATATGTCAATAGCAACTACATTAGAATATCCTATTTTTGGTAAATTTTTACTTCTGCGACAATAATTATTTTTTTTTTATTTATATTCTCTATGTGTATCTGTTTTTTCTATATGTTTTATGTATATCTTTTAAAATAACTATTTTTGTTTATATAAGGTTAAGTTTTCGTCTCAGCTTCTCAATTCCATTTTTGTGCCAATTTTGCGAAAGTTAGTCTGAGTCGTTTGTCCTGTATGTCAGCTAATAACAATTTTGTATACAGTTCTTTTTTATATATATATGTTTGCAATTAAAAATTCTAAACCATACATTATATGGTAGTTTGTATGTGCTTTTTCACACTGCATTTTATGCAATAACACATTTTGTTTATAAATGAATTATATATTTTTAAATTTGAGTAAATAAAATTTTCATATGTATAATTAAAAATATGTATTCAAAATAAACACGATAATTGAACTAATAACGAATAAATAAATTCATAACGATGGAAAACCGCAGAAGCAATGCATTTTTTATTAATAATAAATTTTAGATACATCGAATTATTTCAGTTATTAATAGAAAATAGACTTTCTCTGCCCTTAGGTGGGTACAAACTTATTAATTTAATTTTAATTTCTTTAAATATATGATTTATTTCAATATTTAAAAAAAAATAAAATGTTTAAACCAATTCATTACATCTTTACGAATGATGTACTAATTCATATGTGTTAAATAATTATTGAAGCTTTACTCAGCGTTAGTTGTACATGTGCGACTAGAACGAAAAACAATTGCTAATTTTAGTAGCCAATTACACATCAATGGTATCTGTCAATCTCTTTCTTAATTTTTTTAGTAATGTTTAATGGAAATTGAAAATGAACTTTTTAATAAAATTAAAGACAATTTATGGATTGTGCAACTTTTCGATTCCACAACTGCAAGAATCTACAATTTTTTAATATTTTTGTTAAAGACAAAATTTGAACATTTTGGAAGGTTTTGAAACAGATTAAAAGCAAAATGTGAAAGGTACTTAAAATGCAAAGTAGTTATACTATTAATTAAATTGTGTAAACATTTAATAAACGGGGACATTTGATTTAAATAACAACATTCAGCAACAGTTTATTTGTTGTTATATATTGCTTATGTACCTACCTTACAAGTCGTACCATATGAAAAATGTAATTAAATCAAAAATGTATTGACGTGTTACTTTTAAAATCATTTCGATTAAAACTAAAATGTTCCGAATTTGATTGGTGCAAATATAGTAGAAATTTGTTATGTGTGATTTAAATAAGTGTACGAAAACTACTAAGTTGTACTAATTTTTTTGCAACATATAGTGGTTGAATGAATACGAGTAGAATCCTAAAACTATGGATTTCGATAATTTCGGAAATTCCTATTAAATGTACAAATATTATCAGATACTACTAAATACGTTTGGCATGGAGTGAATTAATATTGCTATAATCTTATGAGAGTTGGTTTAAGAAAGCGCTTTCGGAAATTCGTACTTAAAGTGTACGAAATATTATAAATGTTACGAATGCTAGTACATTCGAAATCTTGTAACTTGCTACAAAATTGATTGAACCAAGAGGCATAAAATTTAGAAAAATCTTGGTTAATACAAAACATTAAACGATTTAAGCGGTTATAACATAAATCAATAGATCTTGAATTTCGAACTTATTAAGAAAATTATGGTATTTTAAAACTTTTTGTGTTGAGATTTCAGGTACATTTTTACTACACTAACCGTTATGTCCGTCTGTCTCTCAATTCATTGTTGTAAAGAAAGTACAGGTTGCATTTTGGATGCTATTTTGTACAACTCATTTATTTGGCCGAAGGACGAACCCATTTGAATATTTAGGAAATCGGTTCAGATATATATAGGCACCTTTGAACAGAGCTTATAAAATGTCTGTTTAAAATTTTTCCGACCCGCAACATATTTTTATATGGTAATCTTATTTTTTAGTCGACAAAATGTAGATGAGTGAACATTTTTTAGTAAGGGCGCAGAATGAATTCAGTGATCGTGTTCTTTCGTTAAACAATTTTTTTTGCATTCCGACAATCATTTCAAACTCAACTAATGTATTTCCTTTCATATATATTTCCTATATATTATAAATTTCCGTAAAAAGCAACAGTAAAAAATGGATTTGTTAAATTTTGGCTTCGATTTCTGTAAATTTCAAATGAGTTAATAGACTACGAAATTAACTGTAATTTTCACTATATTGATTTTTATTTTTATTCCTTTTTGACATAAAATATAAATTTTGATCTGAATTTTGTAATTTTCAAAAATTTTTGTTAATGATTTTAATAAATAAATGCATTTCTGTTATATATATTTATCTATAAATACTTAAGTATAATCACTGTAAAAAGCAATGCCGTTCAAAAATGACAAGCCTTTGAACAAGGCTTGTCATTTTTGATCGGCATTGCTGGCCTCCTGGGGGCAGATATATCTCCCATATATATTTTTGGAAGATTTTATGCAAATGGTGCATCAAATACCCTTTGTATTTTTTTAATTATACGAAATTTCTCATAGTTTCAGATTTGTATACAGCTGCCATATATATTTTCGTTCGATTTCATCTAAATGGTGCACTATGACCAAAAGTAGAAAAATAATTCTGAGGGAAATTGGACAATCATGCAGACAAATAATTAAATTGTTAATAATAGGTCATAGTATTGTCCAAATCGTTTGTAAAATACTAAATATATATACATCTGGTCGCTCAAGATTGGTAACTAACGCTAGACACTATGACACCTAAACACGTTAGTGATTGGACTGTTCGTAGATCACTGTGTAGAATTGATCTAGTTGCATTACCCATTTTGGAAATGTGCATTAGTAAATTCAATTGTTTTAGCATAGATTGTAATCTAAGATGTTTATAATATTAGTATTATTCGTTTGCACCTTTATTTTAACATTCGCGATTTTAATTTTTCAAGATTTTCAATGGGCTGGTAAATCAATATCAATGCTTGTTAAGGTTTGTAACTTTACACATATATAATTGAAGATTCAAAATAGAAGAAAAATAATTTACAAAAAAATTTTGTTGTTGTTTTTTGTAATTAAAGAAAAGTCCTTATTTTTGTTGGCGGGCATAATAACTCCTCACTGGAACATCGGAATCCGAAAATTCCAAAGGTGTTGGAAAGAGTACATGTCTGGCTCTCGTATAAACTAGGATTATTGACTTCGCTCTAAAATTAACAAAATGGCGGACCTTTGAAAAAATATTTTTGGAAAATCGCCAATTTTTTACCAAAACCAAAGTTACAAAATAAGGAAGATCTTCACCGATTGGCTTTATCCTAGTTCATACGATAGCTATACACTCACAGAGAAATGTGTAAAATTTTGAATTCGATTGGGTTATTAGTTTTTGAGTTATCGTGCCCGCCATTCGCAAAAAAATGTTTAGAGAAAAACGCGTTTAATTCCGCTTTCTAGATTGATAATGGGTTACTAAATAATATACGAATAAGGATATACCTTTAAATTTGAGAAGCCCTTTAGCCGTCACTTGATGCTGACACAATAAATCGGCTATATCTTCAAAAGTTCTTGAGATTTTCATTTGAAAATTTGTAGGGACATTCTTTAATTAGTGTAGATTCGAATTATATCAACAAAATTTTTGACCCCGAGAATGGGGGGTCCCCTTAAATGACCTTTTGGCATATTTCTCAGAATTTTCCTGTGATTTTCAAAAGTAATTTAATACCATATTTTGCCTTTATTTTTGAATTATTCTTTACGAATACGCTGTTGTAGGTGCCCGCAGAAGTTTTCTGTTCGATTTAAGTCCCATTACTTCCTATTGGAGACAATTTCATTCTATTGCCCTGGAAACAAACCTTGACATATGTTCTTATGAAAAATCGATATAAAAACATATTCTTTGGTCCAGAGTTGTTCAATGTGTTTTTCTGCATGAAATATTGGATGATGACCCTAACATTTCCTATGCTGACAGAAATTAGCAGAGATAAATCTAAGGGGTCTTTTTAGGTAGAGCAACACTGGGACAGTCGATTGTTGTTGTCGGTTTAAGCCTGCAGATGAAATTATGGACCTAATATCCAAAGTTTGTTCGATTGACGACGAAATTTTGCGAAGTGTACCGGAATGGTGCTTTTAAAATTTGTTTTAAACCGGTTCAGATTGATTTGATCTTTTGGACAGGTGTTTGTGGGCAAATATTTACTATCAAACAATATAGAAAATGCACTTTTAACAGGAATACCTTTATCAAAAATATTTGCAGGATACATTTTATATTTTAGCAATTAAGACCGCCCAGATATTTACGACTATAAAGTATATATATTCTTGATCAGGGTAAAATTCTAAGACGATCTAGCCATGTCCGTCTGTCTGTTGTAATCACGCTATCTTCTGAAGGAATTGAGATAAGGTGCTGACATTTTGCAAAGGTTTTTCTTTTGTCGACAAGCAGGTCAAGTTCGAAGATGGGATATATAGGTCCACGTTTAGGAATAGCTCCAATATAACAGTACCCCCCAATTTTCGGTATTTTGGGGT